GACAGTCACGCTTGGCATTTTGTGATCATCACCACAAACGATGTGTGGCTCGCGTCATGAGAACCGGCAACTGCTCCGGCTTCACCGACGATGACCCATGCTATGCCTCCAAATGCGTGAGAGGCGTTTGTGTCCCACTTATGGCGCCAATCCTTAAAGCTAAGGAACATACAAGGAGGAAAATTGCTGAACGAGCAGCTCCATTGATAGACGCTATCACGAAGGAAACAATCACTTCTACGCCAGATCCAGTAGAGGCGTTATTGGAACTTGTGAACGAGGAACAACTGTCCGATGACTATAACTTGACCATGGCGTATAACTCCACATACACATATAAATCAGTGATTCCTCAGGGACCAAATAATCCTGCTGGGTCTAACGGCAGTGAACCAGAAGAACTACCACCGTCTACCCAAACTTCTCCTACCACCACCAATTTCACAAGCAAAGCAACTACTACAAAGATCTCCTTTACCAATCCGCTCTTTGACAATCCACACTTCGATCGCCGGCTTCGAACATGGGTCTACGGATTTGATGACTTCTTACCGTATCCGTCAGCATACTTCCCAGTAACGGTTCTCGCCAGCAACTATAGGCCACGCTTCCCGCCATCACGCAGCCTTGGCGACGTTATGGTATTCAGCCAAGGAGAAAACCTACCAAATGGATATACGCATATTGTAGAGGTAGGCTTCAATTTTGCTACACAGAGCGAATACCGTCGATGGTCGGGCTATGGTCCCTTAGCACGTGCTACTGCATGCTGCGCGAGGACCAGTGGTTCGCCAAGGCAGTGGCTGGGCCAAATGAATTTCTGCCAGATAGTGCTGTTGGGTAGTCCTCAAATATACAGTAGCCTCAATTCCACCCTTTGAAGGCAGCGTCCCCTCAAACTAGTAGGTATAATTTTACAGCCTTGTGATGGTAGACCCCCAACTGATCTATCAGTAAAATTTGGAGCGAAAAAGCGCCTCTGAAAATTCTAAAATCCACTTCAAAATCTTCCGGACCCCGCCCACTACCAGACCCCACCCACTTCTTACAAGCAATTTCGAGCGAACGCGACCACGGAGAGCTTAGAGCTCATTATTTTCACAAGCGCTGAAACTTAGTTATGGCGTTAACATGGCAAGAAGGCTCTGACGAGGTGGAAAATCGGAAAGCGAAGCAGGGACACTGCTTTAATATGTGAGCTAACTACTGAAAACAGCTTCAAAATCCCACCAATGACGCATGCTTCAGTAGCTTACCATCCCCGCCTACGCAACAGGAATGGGCGGGTTTGGTAGGCTTCTGACGCGTTTTAACACCCTGGCATTTTCTGGAAAA